ATTCCAACCAGGTGCTGTGATAATGGAAGGCAGGTGTCCCAAGTGGCAGCTTAACCCATTGCACCACAATGCACACCCTGGGTAGAGCATCTTCAGGAAATGCCCTGACTTCCTTCCTGACAAAATCCCACATAGCACACCCATCTCCTGGGTCTGAACGTTCACACTGATTTTCAACAGTGACTCCTCCCTGGATGACACCTTGAAGACAGCATGAAGCCACCCTTTGTGCCCTGATTCTGCGTCTCCAATCAGGCACTGAGTGCGCCTATGCTGTATTTTCTGAAACCAGTTCAAAGAGTGGCCCAGAGCCCTGGGGAAGTTTTGTAGGGTAGCTGGGTGGCTTCTGAGTTGCATGTGCCAGTCACCTTTACCAAGAAACATTCTTCTGTAAGTTACTACAAATGCTACATTTGTTAAAAACTTAGAATCACTGTGTATTCATCCACCCCCATTTAATGTGCACAACAATCTACAAGGCAGGTGTCACTCCCCCTCTTCATGGAGGAACGACACAGGACCCTGCGCTGTTCTTTTGTCTGCTCGGCCCTCCCCGGGTTTGCTGCTGGTTCTTCCCGGGTTGGCTGCCGCACCTTCCACCTCCGTGGAAGGGCGGTTCCCCCTGCCACTTTCCCCACTTCCGCGGGGGAGCGGCACACTGCCGGCCGGCTCTCTCGGGGGCTGCTCAGATGTTCCTCAGGTGTTCCTGGTGCATGTTGTCTCTCTCCTCCTTTATAGTCCTCTTCCACCAATCCCAACTCTGCTACCCACAGGCCGAGTATTCTGCTCTCCTCCAATCAGGAGCAGGATCAGCTCCTGCAGGTCATCACTCAAGTTGGCGAGAGGCAGTTGCGTAGAGGTTGTTACTCCCTTCTCAGCGCCATATTGTGGGAGAGCAGATGCATAGAATAAGTCTTAATTCCAGTAACAGTCTAGTCCGAGTTGCTCCCCACAGGCAGGTTCTTTTATTAACTCCAATTTAGAGTGGACGGAACCCTGGCACTAAGAGGTTAAATAATGTGTCCCAGGCATACCTGGTTCCAGAGTTCAACTTCTCAGTGCAGTGTTCTACCTGCTGGAGAAGGGGCTGGGTGTTTTTCTAACAATGGAGCCAGTTCTAGAGAACACTCAGGGGGCTTTATCAGAAGCCAAACTCCAGGGCCACAGCTCTGGGCTGCAGGACCAAGGCAAGACGAGATGCCTGCCCCTCTGTGGGAGTGTCTGAGCATGGCTCGCAGGAAGCAGACCACTCAACTCTGCTAGGAATAGGCGGTTGTTGGAAGTGGGGGAGGTAGGGGGCTCTATCCACAGATGAGCGTGATTCATTCTAAGGCCAGGAAGTGGAGGGTGTAAGGAGGCGGGGGTGTAAGGTGACCGAAGCCGGATCCTCTCTGCTGTGGCCACCTCCAGGGCTGGCCCAGAGCCCACTGTGCAGGCGCTGCAGAGGCGGTAAATGCAAGGATGAATTTCAAGGGGTTGAGAGGGGCTTGTCAGGAGGGTGAGCTGTTTCAGGATGGGAGCTGGTGGGGTGTGAGAACTGGGGGGAAGGGTGAGAAGAGGCTGTCTTTCCCTGATCTCCTTATAGGACTTTGGAGCCACGGATGAGTTTCTGGCTCCCTCACAGGACATAACTCAGGGTCCCCTGGAAGCGGTTTCCACGAAACAAGAGTGCCAGACAGGACTGCGTGGTAGAGTTTCTGTCTTGAGATTCTCAGGCTAGTCTGAGTCAAATGGCGGTATTTACCCAGTGCAGCTGACAATGAAAAATAAATCCCTCAGGAGCCCATTACACCATGTTTCTGCTCCTGGACCCTTGGTCTGGATGGGCGGAGACAGTTCCTGAAACTCTACCTCCTAATCTCCCCTCACCCACTCAGGTCCTCAGCATGGGGTGACAGCTCCCTGTCCTACCTTGAGTGCCCTCCCTGCAGAGCTACACTGCAGACTCCGGTAGTAGCCTCCCTTTGCAGGACTGGGCTCAGAACAGAACCCCAATTTCCTTCCCTTCCTGTTTGGCTTCCCCCTTATCAATCTCCATCGATTCACTTCCTTAATCAATCACTTGACACAGATTTTCAACTCAGATTCTGCTTCTAGGGAATTAACTGGAGATACTCCGCAAAGCCAGCAGTAGCCTGGCTGGAGAGAAAGCTGAAATGCAGTCATGAGCAAGTGTTTCTCGGGTGAGTCCCAGAACTGGCAGATTCTGTCCCATTAATATACAAACGCCTGGGAAGGAACATTTGAGTCAGTTTGGAGCAGTCAAGGAAAGCCTCCTGGAGGAAGCAACATTGGAGCGAGGAATTGAAGGATGAACAGAGCGTGTCCTGCAAACGTGGAGGGAGAGTCCACTCTAAGTAGGAGAAGCGGCAAGGGTGAGAGGAGAGGCAAGGAAAGTTCTGTGTTCCAAGAGTGTAAAGTGCTCCATATTCTTAGAGCCTCCAAAGGGAGGTGTGTTGGCGGGCAAACTGAAGAAGCAGATGCATAAGGGCCTGCAGGGTACGGAGGTGAAGGGAGGCAGTGGGGGTAGAGGCTGGCTCTTAGGGCGACTTTCAGGTCTCTGTCTTGAACTACCGGATGCAGTGCTTAAAGATGAGAAACTGCTCTAGTCTGAATAGGATTTGGACTCCAAACTCATGCAGGACTTCAAGCCCCAAAGTCACAGGTTAATAGTACTAAGAAAGGAAGACATCTAATCCAATTATGGCATGTGGGATGATGGGCCCAGCAGAAGGTTTTGGCATCATTGGGGTTATGCCCTTCTGTCTCCGTTCGTGCCCCCCGCGCTCTCCCTGTTCGTGCCCTGCACGCTCTCTCTGCACGCAGCAGCTTCCGCGAATCACACAGCCTAGCTCACGTTTCCGCCACTGGTATTCAATCTAAGTTCCCCGGGCTAACCTGGCGAATTCAACCTGGCTCACGTCTCCGCCTTTCGGTTTGGCTTCCCGTCTTTTGCTCCCCGGGCTAATCTGACGGATTCCAACCTGGCTTACGCGTCTCTGCCTCTGGTTTTAGATTTTCGCCTTTTGCTCCCCAGGCTGGCTTGAAGAATTCCAACCTGGCTTACGTCTCCGCCTCAGCCTGCCCCTGCGGCTTCAATTTCCCTAACATTTTTCTCTACCCGGTATGTTTCCTAACTTTTCTTCCAACAATATTCCCCTCTCATTTCTCCTGGCTTCTCCCCACAGTCCGTATCCAAGTCTAAGTTTCTTCTAGGTTTCACTTTCGCTTTCAACCTTAGAGATTTCTCCCAGCTTCCCCCCGTAGTCCATATCCGAGTCTATGCCTAGGCTTTCGATAGCTTCTTCTGGCACCTTTTCCGTCCAGCTTTTCCCTAGGCTCTTTTTTTTTTTTTTTTTTTTGACAGGCAGAGTGGACAGTGAGAGAGAGAGACAGAGAGAAAGGTCTTCCTTTTGCCGTTGGTTCACCCTCCAATGGCCGCCGCGGCCCGTGCACCGCGCTGATCCGATGGCAGGAGCCAGGTGCTTATCCTGGTCTCCCATGGGGTGCAGGGCCCAAGCACTTGAGCCATCCTCCACTGCACTCCCTGGCCACAGCAGAGAGCTGGCCTGGAAGAGGGGCAACCGGGACAGAATCCAGCGCCCCGACCGGGACTAGAACCCGGTGTGCCGGCGCCACTAGGCGGAGGATTAGCCTAGTGAGCCGCGGCGCCGGCCATCCCTAGGCTCTTTGCTAGTCTCTCTCTCCGGTATTTTCCCACTTCTTCCCGTTTCTTCCCTCCTAGGTTTCCTATCCGAGTCACGGCACCATTATGTCGCTCCCCCTCTTCGTGGAGGAACGACACAGGACCCTGCGCTGTTCTTTTGTCTGCTCGGCCCTCCCCGGGTTTGCTGCTGGTTCTTCCCGGGTTGGCTACCAACCCTTCCACCTCCGTGGAAGGGCGGTTCCCCCTGCCACTTTCCCCACTTCTGCGGGGGAGCGGCACACTGCCGGCCGGCTCTCTCGGGGGCTGCTCAGATGTTCCTCAGGTGTTCCTTCAGATAGATGTTCCTGGTGCATGTTGTTTCTCTCCTCCTTTATAGTCCTCTTCCACCAATCCCAACTCTGCTACCCACACGCCAAGTACGCTGCTCTCCTCCAATCAGGAGCAGGATCAGCTCCTGGAGGTCATCACTCAAGTTGGCGAGAGGCAGTTGCGTAGAGGTTGTTACTCCCTTCTCAGCACCATATTGTGGGAGAGCAGATGCATAGAATAAGCCTTAATTCCAGTAACAGTCTAGTCCGAGTTGCTCCCCACACCCTTCAAGGGTCTTTCTCCCAAGAGGGTTGGTTACAAAAGGCAGGTTGGGTCGAGCTGCTCTCTGCTTCCTGGCTCACCACGTGACCCTTCGTCTGGTCTCACCAAAGGGCTAAACCAGTGGAGACTGCCTGGTCTTGGACTGTGAACCTCCAAAACTGATCCAAAATAAGCCTTCTTCCTTCATAAAAGCTTGTCTTAGAAATTTAGCTATAGGAGTGAAAAGTCAATTATGTAGGCACTCAAGGAGAAATGTTAGAATGCAAGAGGATATTTGCTTTTGAAGACTTTGAGTTTTAAGATGTTTGCTGGATGTGCAGGTGAACAGCCAGTTGTAGGTGCATTCAATGTATGTGCTAAGCTTTTTAGAATTCTTACAGAATCCCAAGATCAACATGTTGAAGCACTATGATGTACGCTTCCTCCTGGGGGAGGCATCTGTGTATTAAACCTTGGATAGGGGATGTGGAATATAACGAGAAGAGGGAGTGAGGTAAAGAAGGGTGCTCAGGAGTGCACGTCTGTGACAGAGCTCCTGCTATGTACGGGGACAGCATCCCCTGCAGTTGTACACTGCACAGCCCAGTGGGTCCTTCACTGAAAGTCTTGGGAAAGAGGCAGATACAAAAAAGGAGGAGATTAAAAATGAGGAAAAACAAAAAATCTCCCAATCGATTGGCAGAACCCAATGAACAAGCCCAACATTCCCCATCCCCCAGCTAGATCGCCTCTCCCCACTCACCGTCCTCCTCGGTCTGCACCACCAGTTCCTCGCTCTCCATCCGGCCCTCAGGGTTGGACAGCAGGAGCCGCAGACGGATGGTCATGAACGGGCGCAGGCCCCGCAGGGTGTAGTGGGAAGAGGTCTGGATGACCTCCTCGGCCTCATACTGCTGCTGGTTGAACACGTACTGGTACTGCACCGTGAGGTTGTAGCTATGGCAACGGGTCACTGCATAGCCAAAGGGCTCCCACTGCAGGGTCAGCTGCCGGGCTCGGATGTCCACAATCTCCACATTCTGCGGCCCATGCACTGGGTCTGCAAGACACACAAGCAAGACACGGAGCTCAGAGGAGACTGCCAAGAACGTGGACTGGGTGTTCCACAGTAGAGGAGAGAGCGGCTCTTCCAGGCTGACTTCAATCACTCAGCCACTGCCTTCATGATTTTTGCCATGTGCAGCACAATTTACATTTTTCTAGAAATCAATCTTTTTCTTATTATATTTGAGCATCTACAAGAAAACATAAATATACCAAGGGGAAACTTGCCATACATCATTTGCTATAAATAAACGTTAACCATAAAAGTAAATGCAAAACTATTAAATTCTGTTTATTTATCCATCTATCTGTATGAAACAGAGAGGTCCCTTCCATTGGTTTACTCCCCACATGTCTGCAACAGATGAAGCTGGGCCAGGCTGAAGCCAGAAGCCAGAAATACAATCCAGGTCTCCCACACAGATGGCAAGGCACACATCAACAGGAAGCTGGAATTGGGATCAGAGCCAGCATTAAAACCAAGGTTCTCCCTCTCTGGGAGGCAGGTGTTGCAACTGGTCGTTTAACTTCTTGGCCAAACACCTGCCATTCTTAAAGGGTGCCACTTAAACCCATCTTGAGTATGACCAACAACACACTTCCAGGATATACAGCCATGTGATACATAATGGCATTTTGGTCAATGATAGATTGCCCATAGGAGTGTACATGATACACAGCCTATCCCAGCGAGGTCTGTGTAAATACACTCCATGTCACGCACACCACTACAAAATCACCTAGTGCCTCATTTCTCAGCACATGCCCCATTGTTAAGTGACTGGCGACTGTGTGTAGACAGCTGCTGACTTCAGATCTGCCACAGCCCCTCCCTGTGGAGCTGGCCTCACCTCTTCCATTAACAGCATCTGGATGTACAAGAGGGAAACCGAGTCACACCCTTGCTGCACAGCACCCAGTGTAGCCACAGGCCGCCATGACCCAGTGTCTCTGCCCTGGGATCTCGGTCTTTCCCATGATAACACAACTTACCACGTCACAGCCTGTGTCCCAGCCCTTCACTCTCCTTTCCCTCCTGTCTGCTTTCTCCAAAACTGGTCCCTGCAGGAACATCATTCTATAAACATATCTCACCAGGCCTTCTCTTCCCAGGACTGTCCTCTCCTCCACCCCTCCCAGGCTCCCACATAGAACACTGGATAATCTTATTTTATTACTGATGCTTTGTTCACACAAATTAAATAGATGTTTTACATTAAACAGATAATGGAAAACAAGTTTTTCTTTTTTTTTTTTTTTTTAAATTCTCACATGGGAAGCTCATTCCATGTTAAGATTAGGCATTTGTTATGGTAAAAACGCAACTTCTTGTGTGATAGTATCCCCTGCAAGTCTGTGTGCCACATTCTCTTAAGTTAAACACAGGCTTGAGATTAACTCAGTATTTCCCCCATAGTGCTTATAGGACTTTGTCAAGTTATGCCAACTCTTTGGGTCTCTTTTTTTATTTAATTTGTAAAATGGTAATGGAAGCTAATATCAAGGACCGGAAGGAGAAATGTGAAGTGTAATGTTTGTAATGAGAAGTGAAATGTTTGCAAAGCAGTTATAATTGCATTTGGAACATAAGAAGGACTGAATATATGGCAGCTTGGATTTCTGCGTGTGTGATTTTGGCGATTTCAGCAATAGGAATAGTAATAAAAGTAGTAATAGTACCTGAGTATCTTAATAGTGGCATAGTAATAAAAGTAGTAACAACAGTACCTGAGTATCTTAAAAGTGGCATAGTAATAAAAAGTAGTAACAACAGTACCTGGGTATCTGAAAAGTGGCAGTGCTGGTAGCAGCCACGTGTGAAACGAGGGATAGGATTCTGTCATCTTTTTGGTTCCCTAGAGCATCGAGGGGTGCAGCTGCACTTGCAGTAAGGAGTAGGGCTGGGAGCTCTTCTACCTGCCGAGTGCCCGGATCTGTCCCCATGCGGAAGACAGAAGACGTCCTGTCACTAGTGTCAGAGCCTTACGAAGGAGCATTCATTCACAGAAAGGTCAGGGAGCCCAGGGAGCCAGCCGGAGCTTTGCACACAGCTGTTGGCTGGCAGCTGCTGGGGAGAACAGCATTCCCGGCCCCAGCTCAACTGAGGAGGTCACTGCCACTCTCACAGCCCAACCATTCACGCGCACGGGTCCTTTGTGCAAAGGACAGTCGGCGTCCCAAAAGCAAATGGGTGACTTTGAGACTGTGACATCGAACAAGCTGTTGCTGAGGGCCTGTGGCGCTAACCCCATGCAGATGGAAGGTAGAAGTACGGTCGCTGCAGTAGCTGGGGTCTCCGATGGGTTAAACCTCACAGCTGCAGTAGCTGGGGTCTCCGATGGGTTAAACCTCACAGCTGCAGTAGCTGGGGTCTCCGATGGGTTAAACCTCACAGCGGCTCTGGCTGCAAGCGCAGGGGTGGCAGAGCTGCTCCCTCGGAGCTCCCGAGCACCCCGCCAGCCTTGCCCAGTGGGGGCCTGTCCACTTGTCCAGACATGAGAATGTGCCTGGCAGGAGGCCGCCCACGCCCTCGGCACCTCTTCAGCGTCCCTCTCTTGGGTTGCACCCTCCAAGCCAGCGCCAAGCCCAGTCAGATGAGCGCCCTCACTTTGCTCTTGCTCTCCCTCGTGAGGGAGTGAGGACACACTCAAGGCCAAAGCAGAGAGCGCGTTTATCAGGCATCTTCACTCTACCGTATCACATAGGAAATGCAACAGCCGTGATTCCCCAGGACGGCTTCACAGCACACGCAGAGCAGAAAGAACACATCGTCATTAGGCAGCTGCAGCCACACCTGCTGGCTTCTTGCTCCTGAATCATCCTAGGACCCTGGGAGGGAGGAATGGGAAGCCCACCACTTTACAGATGAATACATTGAGGCTCCGAGAAATCTAGAAGCTTGTGCTGAGTAGCAAGGCTGGCAAGTGACAGAGCGAGGTTCTGAACTGGGTCTGACCCTACACCTGGTGAACAGAGTAAGGGCTTCAGTGAGTATCTGTTGGGTGGCTGTTCGTGCTGTTTTGTAAATCTGACAACAGCCTAAGGGGTGGGTATCGCTACCCCACTCCTAGAGGAAGCCACATCTCTGTGAGATGAAATGGTCGTCCATCCTAAACCTGTACAGTGAGTGGTAGAGCTGATAGATTTAGTCTGTGTGCATTCAAGCCCTCTGTACGGCCCCTGCTCCATGACACCACCAGAGACTGAGAGCAGGAAAAGAAGACAAACAGGAGGCACATCACAGTTCCCAGGCATCCAAGGACAACTCAGAAGGATGGACTGAGAAGGCCAAAGACTGTAAGGCAGAAATTTCTTAACCCCCAGGAGCCTGGGACCAGCCAGAGGGGCCAATGTAGAGACTTAAATACAGTTAGTGCCGGGCTGATCACCAGTCTGTCTTCCCATCTCTGGGCTCTATTCATCCTATAGCTCACCTGTGCAAATAAATATATTTTTATTTGAAAGGCAGAGTTACAGAGAGAAGGGGAGAGATCGTCCATCTGTTGATTCACCCCCAAAATGGCTGAAACAGGCAGGGCTGGGCCAGGCTGAAGCCAGGAGTCTGGAAATTGATCTGAGTCTGCCATGCGGATGGCAGGGGCCCAAGGACTTGGGTCATCTTCTGCTGCTGTCCCAGGTACATTAACAGGGAGCTGGATCTGAAGTGGAGCAGCTGGGATTCCAACCAGCACGGATATGGGATGCAGGTGTCACAGGTGGTAGTTTAACCTGGTAGCCCCAAATCGACACCTTTCTCTCCTATTTTTTAAAATATTTTATTTATTTGAGAGGCAGAATTACAGAGAGAAAGAGAGGGAGAGACACAGAAAGGTCTTCCATCTGCTGGTTCACTCCCCAAATGGCTGCAATGGCCGGAGCTGCGACAATCCAAAGCCAGGAGTCAGGAGCCTCTCTGGGTCTCCCACGTGGGTGCAGGGTTTCAAGCACTTGGGCCATCTTCTACTGCTTTCCCAGGTCATAGCAGAGAGCTGAGTCGGAAGAGGAGCAACTGGGACTCGAACCGGCACCTATACGGGATGCCAGCACTGCAAGCAGAAGCCTAGCCTACTGTGCCACAACGCCAGCCCCCTTTGTATCCTCTTAAAGGAAAAAGCCTGGGAGGCCACCATTATAAAGAGGACCACGGGAACTGTGAGCTTGCCATGTGACAAAGAGGCTCCCTCACAGAGCAAGGAAGACGGGGCACAGGAAAAGCCATTTGCTGCCTTCCAAGCATGCACGACTGACTATCCAGGCAGGTCACAGGGTACGGAGCATCGGCCAGAGCCTGGCTTGAAGCCGGACTCCAGCACTCACCAGCTGTGCAACCTTGGGCAAAGGCACTGCATCCCTGATCCTGCACCTCCTATTCTATAAAGTGGAAGTCATCACCCGGATCTCGGAGGGCTGTCAATGAGAACAAAATGAACTGGAGAGAGAGAAAAGGGCCTTTCCCTAACCGTGGGTGTTCCTCTTAGGACAGCCTTCCCTGGAGAAATGCCTTAGGAAGCCTGTCTGGAGGAGAAGCTGTACTGTCAAGCAATGGGTTTGAGTTGAGCCTCCAGACAAAGAAAGAAGACACTGGGGCTGGGCTGAGGAGTTGGAGGGGTGAGGTGAACAAATGGCAAGATGTTAGGGGTAGCCCAATAGGATCGTTCCCTCCCTGACTCCTAGACCCACCAGGGCCTTACATGCCTCACAGCTATTTCCCATGACTCAGTCTCCTGTGCATTACAGGACAGACTGGGATATGCATAGCTTGGGCCAACTAAGGTACCGCAGGGACACAGGGGCAGAGGCCAAGGGGACTCGGAAAGTATGCAGTTCAGTTCCTACACATAAGGGAAGGAGGGCTCTGGTGGACCTACAGGGCAGATGCAGGTAAGTGGAAGGGCTTTGTAAACCCAAGAACTCCCATTCCAGAAAGGGAACAAAAACGCTATTAGATGTCAGCTCTGGGATGGGGGCTACCCTTAGCACTTGCCTCTGGAAAAC